ACCATGCTGCCGAATTCTCTGAAAAATCTCTTCTATATGGGTTTGATGTTCATCGGGTGTTTTCGAAAAAATAAGAACATCGTCGAGATAGGCAGTGGCAAATTTCTCGCATCCTTGTAGAACAATGTTCATAAGCTGCGGGTGCATTACTTAAACCAAAAGGCATTCTGTTAAAATGAAATAAACCTTTATGACAAGCAAATGCAGTTTTTTCTTTACTTTCTTCATCTAATTGAACTTGCCAATATCCGCTTTTAAGGTCTAGTGTAGTAAAATGTTTAGATTTATCCAATAAACTTAGGATATCATCTATTAGCGGAAGTGGATAGGATGCTGGTCTTACAATTTTATTTAATGACCGAAAATCTACACACATTCTTTGTGTCTTTCTTTCCAACTACTACCAAAGGGAAAGACCAAGGCGATTGTGATCTTTGTATGATTTTTGCATCAAGCATTTCATCGATGGCTTTATCAATAATTTGTCTTTTATTAAGCGGAGTTCTGTAAGGTCTGTTTTTAATTGGGGAGGGGGGGGGGTGGTCACCAGTTTCTATTTTCATTGTTACAGTTTTAGTGTGCCCTAACTCACTATCCTTTTTAGCAAACAAATCTTTGTTTCGTTGCACAATTTGCGTCGTATAGGATTTATATTTTTCGGGCGCATCTACTTCGCTTAAATCTGAAGTGTTGTTTATTATCTCCCCCCGCTGTTTTAATTGCATTTATCTCGCTTTTGTAAACAGATCGAACTGTACCTACAGCGCTTCCGGGCTTCAATTGGTACGCGCGGTTAGACTGATTTATGATCATTATTGGCACCTTACGCGTGTTTCTTATTTCACCCACTAATTCTTTTAATATTAAACCGGGTTCCCCATTAAGACAATCGTGTAAATTTTTAATCTCTATCAACCCTCCATATTTTCTTGGAAAGGCGGAGTTTAATTTTCCATAACACACAACTGCCGTCTGCGGTTTTATTAAAACCTTCTTATTTATTCTCACCAAAGATGAAATATGGAGATCTTCTTCTAATTTTACATATGTTTTTCCAACTCTCAAACACCCTAAATCAAAATATATTCTGACCCCATTTGCTTTTAACCAATCTCGTCCTAAAATGACACAACGATCGAGTCCCTCGGTAACATAAAATTTATGATTCATGCGTAACCCATTCATAGAAAAGGCTAAGTCTACTCTACCTATCACCGAGAGTGATTCACCATTTGCAGCCTGTAAATATGGTTTTTCTTTCTTATTTAAAGATGGTTTGAACAATAGATAATTATACATTTTTCTACTAATAAGTGAAACCTCAGCCCCGGTGTCTACTAATGCCCAATATCTCATTTTTCCCAATTTCATAATACAAGAATTTGGATTTCCAGTTAAACAAATCTTATATACATTTTTTCTACCACAATTTTTATTTCCCTCTCCATCGGCTTCAACATGAAGAGAGTGTCTTAGTTTTCCTGATGGGTTGAGTTCCTTTTTGAAGAGTAATAGGTGGGCCTGCGTCTGAACGACCTATCAAAACGGCCAGAATATCTCTGAGGACAATATCTGCTAATAAGACCATAACTTTCACAATTCCAACACTGTAAATTGTATTCCCCTTTGTTTTTGAAATTTCATTTACGCGTGACCTATTCCTTTGATTTCCAATATTTTTTATATTCGTACCAATTTGTGCATGACAGAATTTTGCCCTGTGACCTACTTTACCACACCTGTGACAACGCTGATTGCGGAAGTGATCTACTTCCATGGGTTCAATTTCACGAGACGGGACTTTTGGAAAATTTGTATCTTCAAATAAATTTGGAATTGACTTATTTATCAAAGGCTCATGCGAAAAAGATTCATAAAGTGTGTCACTTGTTCTTAATGCATTTTGTTCATGCATTGCCATTTGAACCGCGTTTTCCAAAGTTTTAGGATTTCCCCTTAACAATTTCATTATAACAAAATCAAACAACAAACCATCACAAAATATGTCAACCAACTGATTTTAAACTATTTGATTTTCCAAATTTTCTGGCGAATATGCATCTTCCGCTACCTGTAAAAGCCTTTCGGCAAATACTTGCACACTCTCACTGGAAGTTTGTCTCATTTTTCTCATAATTGCCAATGCGTGTTGAGGGTCAGTAATTTCTGCAAATCGACTTTTTAAAAGATGTTTTAAATCATTCCAACTAGGTAATTCACCCAAAACTTCAATTTCTGTCAAATATCTCTTCACAAAGTCTCCCACAGACCCTTTACATGTTACATACGCGATTTTTGGAATATCTTCACTTGCCATGTTTGACATTTTTGCGTATTTCTCGATATCTTTAGTCCACTGTTTGAATTTTACAGGATCCCCCTCAAAATAGGTAATGACCTGATTAATGGGCACCGAAATAGCTGCGGTTAATGATTTAACCTGGTTTAAAATTGAATTCATCCATTGTTTTATATTTTGATCATTATCATCTTCATTTTCATTCTTTTTGCCCCCATAAGGAAAGTACCCTGAACTTTCATGTTTGTTATTTTCTTCATCCTAACTTTTTGAATTTAACATTTCAGTTTCCGCCATTTGCTGTGTTAATTCATTTAATGCTTTATCAAGCTGTTCTTTATGTGTTGGAGCCTTTGCCATTTTAAAAAATTCTTTTTAAATTAGAATTTTGATGCTTATTTTATAAAATTAACAAGTAAATTTTGCGTGGTCATCTAAAATGTTAAGTAGCAAGAGAAATTGTCTCACCTTAATGTCTCTGATCTGAACTTCGCACGTCCTGGTCACTGGCACCAAATTGACTTCTGAGATGTAAGCCAATGACGACACTTTGGTTGATTTCAAAGTTTATTAAATAAATCCAAATTCACAGTGATCGTATAGTTTTGATCTGAATAAACCAATACTCTGTTTATTTCAATGACAACAGGATCCGTCCAAACAGAAAGAGTTGAAGGCTGAACTCCCAAAAATAAATAAATGTCCAAAATAATGACTCTCAAAAATAAAATAAAATAATGAGAGAGAATTGAGAATCTGAGATGAGAATAAGAAAGAAAAAGACAATGACGCCGATTTCTGGCAAAACAGGGTATTTTGTTCTCAGAGAGTATTCATGGTCCCGGATATAAAAATGCATTTCATTGGCTAACCCCCCATTACTAACCACCTACGCTTTGTCCGTAGGTCTGTCCGTTGACCTATGAACCCCAACATGGCACCACCCTCAAATGCAAGTAAACACTCATTACTAATATTTATGGGCTCAGTCCCCATCTCTACACCCCAGGAGTTCTAGCCCTAAGCTCTTTTACTTATTTACTTCAAAGTTCCCAATTTTATTGCTCTTGGTCAAAAATCTTAATAATACCATTGCATTTCCGTTCAAATTTTATTACTTACTATCGATGGGCCTGATTGGTCTATTCGGATCAATTTCAGTACAAAATGATTTACCAAATTATAGTACATTGGAACAACATCAAAATCCAATTTGTTTTAACAAGATAATAATAGTTCATAAAATTAAAGTCCTTTTTCCAATTATAAAGTCACTGATTTTGAGGTACTAATAATATACATTCTGATTTAATAAACTTTTATTTCATTTTACTTTCACTACTAATAACAAAAAATGGTTATGATATTAATATTGTCTAAGTTTAAAATGTTCAAATAATATGTCTGTGCTAAACCCTCTAGGTTTACATTTGTCGGGGGGGGGGGGGGGGGTTATTAGTGTCTTGCTTTGCTCTATCTATAACGTGTACAGGTCATTTACTTTGAGTCCTAGAACAGCATTGAAGCATTTTTGTCTCAAACACTTCAAGACAACTTTCCCAGTTAAAACTGTTCACAATTTACTTCGTCGTCGAGAACGATGGAAAACAGACCAGTCTATAAATAGAGGCCGTCTCATCAATCTATCACTGACCAGAGAGTGTGCATGAAGAAGCGCGCCCTCTGGTAAGAGAGTAATATGAATTTCTTTAGAACGACTCATGTAACTATTTTCCCCAGAATTTCAATTTACGCTAGTGCAGTTGCAGTTTCCCCTACGTAACTAGTCAGCCCATGGGCTAACTAATAATTGACCAAACAGTGGCATGTCTTAGATATTCGTTAATCTGTAGTATTTGGTTATGACATTTGAGAAAGTCAATTGTACATCTTGTGTAATGAAGTATCGCAACTATGTCGCTCCTCAAAATTGATGATGGAAACGTTTAGCACTTCTCTTGCTTATACGTTCCATAGATATTGATTGATTTAGTCAGACAAGCTTTTTGAAAAGCTATTACTTGTAAAACAGTTAGGTTTCACTATAGCCCTCTCATAGCCATGGCTCAGTCGACTGATGTGAGCAAACGTGTACATAAGGCTGGTCTTGGGGATTGAGTCTTCTCCCACCTTTATTTGATAAAGCCATTGAATTTCACGGATACTATAGCACTGTTGTATGTGATTGTTCATGTATCATATTTCATCTCAAACTGTCAGGGTCTAAAAATAGAAGATAATATACTAGTATTCCTTTTTTTAAGGAAAACGTTTTTTTTTCAAACAAATATTATAAATGCATATAGACATGTCTTTGCTGGAATACATGGACTCTATCAACTCCTTTTAATTTGTCGTTTCTGTGGGATAAAACAACTCCGTTTAATTTGTCGTTTCTGTAGGATAAAATTGTTTCATGTTAAGTTAAACCTATAAAATAAAATCTCTTGTGCGAGCCTCCTGCTACGTTTACAACCTGCAACTTCGGATTTGAAAAAAAAAAAAAGACACTTTTTCCCCCAAATGCTTAGCTTTTACTGATTTTTTCAGTCTTAATTTGCCAAAAACAAAACAAAGAAATAAAACGAAACAAATCAAATTAATCAAACTAAATAGAATCGAGCATTATATATATATATATATATATATATATATATATATATATATATATATATATATATATATATATATATAAGTCATGGCGACGGCTATACGGCATACAGCAAATTTTTTTTTTCTCTTTTGACAACTCAAAAATGTTGAACTTGAATATCCTGTCTTGAAAAGTTAAAGTAAATCTTAAGAAATAAAGTTAATATTTTCTTTGTTGAATCTGTTCGCTAATTTGCATCATAATTTTATTTTTCCTCAGTTTAAGACTTCGATCCACCAGGTTCAAAACTGTACAGTCTGACTTCGTTTTGACATGTTAGTAAAAGCCTCGGTTTTGATCCCATTACAGCTATACGAATTGCCATTGGATTGTCTATTGCTTCATCTTTGTCTTTGGAAAGGATCTGCCTCACAAACGCACCATTCATGTTCAGCTGTAATACATTGTTGGTACTACATCCTACAATGTAGATATTACCGTCAAAATCACAAGAAACTCCTAGAGGATAGCTCAAAGTCTCGTGTTCGAATGTGAGTTCCTGGGTACCTAATTTATCATCATGTAGAACATAAACTTTGCCATTTTCAATATGGTGCGAATAAATGATACGTCTAGAATGAAGACAAAGTCCATATACGTAGCCCTTATTGACTGTTACGGTGTGTAAAATGCTTCCGTTTTCGTCAATATGTCGGAGTAACCCATCGGTAGAGGAGACAATGAGATTGCCATTGTCACAAGCAATTCCATTAGGTTTGAATGATAGATTGACAACTTTGGTCGAAGATAGAAAAGGACTTTTGTCCATGACCAAATCAACAAATTCTATGCTTGAACGGGGAGAGCGAATGGTGACAGCAACCGATAATTGTCCGGTTTTTGTCATGGCCCAAGGTTTCCCTGACAACTTACAGGAAGCAACAAAACATTCGTTGATATGGAAGAGATACAATAAATTGTGATTGTCGCATATTGCAAGAACATGATCATCTCTAATGGCTTCAATATCGGTCATTCTGCATCCAGACTTAACCAGGACACTAGACAAAACTAAAGTGGAATTCAAATAATCTGTCTTAGAATTTGTATCCATTTCCTCCACAACAAGTTTGCCAAATGGTTTTTGTTCTTGAAGAACTTTTGTCACAATCGTGTCGTCCTTTAATTTTACATCTACATGTTTAAAACTGGATCGAACTGCTCCTAATTTTTCTGTAAGGGATTTGTAATTTTTCTGGACTTCCTTCATTGCAAGAAAAAGTGACATCTTGTTTTTATCGTTTGGATTTTTCAACTTTTCAATGTCGTTATCAAGATTTACTTGAAAATCAGATAACATTTCGATCTTTTCCACAAATTGTGCGTTTTTCCCGCTCTCAACACACTTTAGCTGATCTATAAATTCAGCCTCCTTCTCGTTCAAAAATTCTACCATTGACTGTTTTATTGATTGTATATGCGAACGAACATCGTCAACTTGAGCCTGAAATTTTTCTTTACTTTTAGTAATGCTAGCTGTATCTTCTGTGCATTCTCCTTTCAAATTTTCAAGCAATGCGCTCAATTTCTCTAGTTCATCATTTTCACTTGCCTGTTTAGCGCATTCCTCCAAGTTTTCAACCTTCTCGCATTTTCGATGCTCTGTCGTTGCACACAGTAAACAACAAGCCTGCTCATGATCAAAACAATAAACCTCTAGTTTCCGATCAGCGTGTTTTTCACAAAAAAGTGTCATGTTAGAACAACAGTCTGCTTCGGCATCATCTAGCGACAGAACACGGTGTTCCATAGACAAACGGTTAGCGTGATGGCTGTTGGCGCATTTCTCACATAGGTCGTCACAGCAGTCAATACATCGTGACGTAGCAAGTTCAACTGAATTCATACGCTGACAGATGTCGCAAGATTTTTTGCTGGAATCTTCCATGTCTCTACAAACCGTATAATGTATGAAGATAAACACTGCACTTTGAAATGGTTCACGTAGTTTGAATATGGAAAAGTATAAATATACGCTAAATATATGAAATAGTTTAGGAGATAAAATTACTTCCAACTTCTTCCTTTCCTTACACAATAATGCGTAATTCCAGCGTTTGCTAAAACCACAGCACAGCCACTTTCTGCAAATAAAGCAAACGTGTTTATCAGTAAGGTTTCTTAGGGTTCTGCGCTTTCGCATCACAATGTTATCTTGAAATTGCGGAAATAATTCACACTGCAGTAAAAAGGCTAGATCTGCACCTGGCTACCTGGAGTATTTTTGTAACGTTTAAATTTTATCATCATGCAGTTACAATAATCCCTGACACATCAAATACCCTTAAGATTTCCGAGAGTGCAATGTACACTCAAAGGATTATTTATTAAATGCGACCAGGAAACGGAAATGCGAACATGTGTACAGTATAGGTCTATGTCTTTATCATGTTTTATCTGTGTTAAAATGCGATAAAGTTTGTACTAGATTTTATTTCCTTCGTGTCCCATGACAATTCAATTTTTTGAAGTTATGCACAATCATCATATTTTGAAGGTTTGTGATCAACTTTAACATGGGCCTTCATGGTTTTACTTCTTAATTTTTACATACTTTTCATATGCATATATATAAAGAAAATTCCAATTGACAGAACAGAAACACAAAAAAATTTTCATTGCACTAGTTTGGACTAATCCTCAAAAGCATAGGGGTGGGGTGGGGGTTATACAGTGATGGGGATGGCCCCATCATCCATACGTCCACCCGTAACCCATCAGGGGTATCGTACCCATCTCTTATCTGCAACTCCTTCTATACCACTGTATAAAATCTAATCAGACTTTCACAGAATATTTATTGTATAGAGCCATTGTGCACCTAGCTCCTATTTTACTTTCGATTCGAAAGATATTTAGGGTTTCCCATAGCAAAACATGGATACCGCAACATCGGGAGTACCCATCTCTTATCCCAACTCTACCTATACCACTAAATAAAATTTAAAGAAACTTTCAGAAAATCTTTATTAACTGTTCCATTGTGCACTTCCTATTTTTTGTTTCAATTGGACAGATATTTTGGGTTTTCCATAGTAAAACATGGATACATTCTATAACATTGGGGGTACCCATCTCAAATCAGCAACTCCTCAGTCCTATATATACCACTGAATAGAATTTAGTGAGTGTTTCCCCATAGCAAAAAATAGACATTATTTTTTATCTATTTATTTTTCTTTTTTGCTGCTTACAGTTTTAAATGTATTAAAATCTCATTGAATGTGTAAAATCAGCTATACTACAGTATTTAATTTATAGCAACGTTCTTATTATGAAATAATGACAAACAAAACTTTTCTGTGGAAAACTCTCTCGACCATAACTATTTATGATTTTAAAAAAAGTTTGGATTTTCTGGGGATTAAAACCAAGGGATTAAAATCCCGGGAATCGGTATTGTTTTCAAGAGACTGACACTTTAACTACTACATCATACAAGGCATTATAAGTAGTCAGTGGCATTAAATCATGTTTGTGATATGACCCTTCAATAACTGGGCATCAAATATTTTTCAAACGAATATGTGTCATAAAAGTGTATTTTTAAGGTGTAGTGGACCCTTGCCCCATGTTTTTTTTTTTTTTTTTTTTTTTTTTTTTTTTTTTTTTTTTTTGTTAAGCAAAAAAATGTATAATTTTACTTTGAAGATATAGTTTCAAAAAAATGGAGCGAATACTCAATCATCATGCATGGAAAAATTTTGTTTAAGTATGAAGAAATTATCATTTTTGCTCTCTTTGGTGTTTGCATACTATTGCATGGATTAATAATTTCAATGTTAAATTACGAGGTTGTTGCAAGTTGTGTAGATTTTACATATAGTACTGATCGAAATATTAAAGAAACTTTTTTACAAATTTTCATTTGCACTTGCTTAGTTGTTGAACATGAGCACTACCGGTTATTTCACATTAAAGACAATTTCAAGAAGAAACTGACCATGCAATTATGTAGCACCTACATCAAAAACATAAACGTATGTAGCTAAATTAGCTTTACATTTACAGTTGTCTTTCTTTGCAAGATCTTAACGTAAAATCTGCTCTTAGTGTGTTTGGGTTTGACATGACGCCCAAATTCAGAACTTTAAGTCATGATAACGACCATTTAAAAATGCGCACTACATTTTATACCTAATAATGAAAGGAACATTTTCGAAGAAATATTTGGACGAAAGTAATTAGATATTAACCGCCAACAACTGATGATTATTGACCCTTTAACATAATTACAAGCATTTTGAAATCGTTTTGAAAAATTAATGGCATCATTTATAGTTTCAACTGAATGATTTGAATTCCATACAGGTGCTGCATTAAAGGCACACAGATATGATAAAGTAGATAAAAAAAAATGGAAATTTTGAATTTTACAATACTATACTGAAATTTTTATTTATTCATATTTTATTTATTCATTTTTTGCAATTGTAGAATTAAGACAGAAAATACATATTTTTCGTACAAAACAATATATTTTCAACAATTAACTTTAGAAAATAATTTGAACAGAAAGCATAAAAGGTATAGGGTTAAAAACAAGAGGCCCAGGGGCCACATCGCTCACCTGAGCACTTTGGCTAGGAAAAAGCAGAAATCACTTCAATCTTGAAAGGTTGAAAAGTTTAAATATAAAAGTGGTTGGGGGGGGGGGGGGGTCAGGAATTGAACAAATTTGAATCTACATTATCTGAGGATGCTTCCATTTAAATATGACCAATCATGGCTTTGCTGTTCTTGAGTAGAAGATTTTTAAAGATTTAACCTATGTATTCCTATGTAAAACTTTGATCACCCATTGTGGCCCCACCCGATCCCCAGGGGTCATGTTTGAACAAACTTGAATGTACACTATCTAAGAATGCTTCCATATAAATATGACCAATCATGGCTTTGCTGTTCTTGAGAAGAAGATTTTTACTATGTGTTCCTATGTAAAACTTTGATCGCCCATTGTGGCCCAACCCGACCCCCGGGGGTCATGAGTTGAACAAACTTGAATGTACACTATCTGAGGATGCTACCATATAAATATGACCAATCATAGCTTTGCTGTTCTTGAGAAGAAGATTTTTACTATGTGTTCTTTGTAAAACTTTGATCGCCCATTGTGGCCCCACCCGACCCCCGGGGGTCATGAGTTGAACAAATTTGAATGTACACTATCTGAGGATGCTTCCATGTAAATATGACCAATCATGGCTTTGCTGTTCTTGAGAAGAAGATTTTTAAAGATTTTTCCTATATATTCCTATGTAAAACTTTGATCGCCCATTGTGGTCCCACCCGACCCCCGGGGGTCATGATTTGAACAAATTTGAATCTACACTACCTGAGGATGCTTCCATGTAAATATGACCAATTATGGCTTTGATGTTCTTGAGAAGAAGATGTTTAAAGATTTTTCCTATATATTCCTATGTAAAACTTTGATCGCCCATTGTGGCCCCACCCTACCCCCGGGGGTCATGATTTGAACAAACTTGAATGTACACTATCTGAGGATGCTACCATATAAATATGACCAATTATGGCTTTGCTGTTCTTGAGAAGAAGATTTTGAAAGATTATTCCTGTATATTTCCTATGTAAAACTTTGATCGCCCATTGCGGCCCCACCCTAGCCCCGGGGGTCATGATTTGAACAAACTTGAATCTACACTACCTGAGGATGCTTCCACATAAGTTTCATGTTTTCAAGCACAGTGGTTCTTGAGAAGAAGATTTTTTAATGATGCCATTAATTTTTCACGAATTCTTAATTATCTCCCCTTGGAAGAGGGCGTGGCCCTTCATTTGAACAAACTTGAATCCCCTTTACCCAAGGATACTTTGTGGCAAGTTTGGTTGAAATTGGCCCAGTGGTTCTTGAGAAGAAGTCGAAAATGTGAAAAGTTTACAGACGGACAGACGGACAGACAGACGGACAGACGGACTACAGACAAAATGTGATCAGAAAAGCTCACTTGAGCCTTCGGCTCAGGTGAGCTAAAAAGGGTTTCATGACAATATAATTCCAACATGTATTTCCCAGTACTTTTTGTGACAATGAGATATTACATTGTTTTTCTTCACTTAATTATCACTAATCTAGAAACTGCTTTTTAATACAATATATACATGTATTGGCTAAGATTATATTTGAGCAACAAAGATTCACTTTTCTATACATGTGCATACCGTCAGTTTGTGACACGACTTTTCTGATAGTTTATTTATATAATTTTATTTTACAAAATAGCATATTTAAATATTATACATATATTTCTTAATGATTTTTTTTTTTTTTGCAGACTAATATATCTTTATTCTCTGAGAAAAAATACACATTTTTTTTTGCATATAAATCACTTTATAAGCACTGTTTTTTTTTTTTTTTTTTTTTTTTTTTTTTTTTTTTTTTTTTTTTTTTGGTGGGGGTGACTGGAAAATTTATGATTGGCACAACTTAATTGAATTTGGACGATAACGACTTGCAAACCTGATGAGAAAATTTTGTATAAAAGAACCAAAACGTTTCATCAGGAACATGCATAAAAAAGAAAGCTGCATAATTATATTATTATTAGCTTAAAATTCTTTACGTATGCCATAATGCTTGAACTTTATGTAAGCCAGAGTCATCATGAATTTAAAACAAGAAAAAAACAACGCCCCCCTATCATGTTAAAGAAAAATAGAGCTTATTATTACACTTGGTAAACAGGAACTTAGTATAGCGAAAAGGATAAATATGCATGCATGGAGAGAGACAAAATACTTCAATAATCTTTTTTTTTTTTGACATTCATGTATCTTGTGCTGGGTTCCATGATGTCATTTTACTTGACTTGCTCTAAAACTCGGTCAATTCTGTCACTGTCGAACACCAACGAATGCAAATAAGATTTAGCTGATCCGGCCTACAGTGTGACGTAAGCGGTCCAATATATCATCGACAGGTCCTAATATCTCACTCTGCGGTCAAACATCTATTTTTATGCCCCCGTATCGAAGATTCGGGGGTATATAGTTTTTGCCCTGTCCGTCCGTCCGTCTGTCTGTCTGTCTGTTTGTCTTTTTGTCTGTTTGTCCGCAAAAACTTTAACATTGCCCATAACTTTTGATTGGTTGGAGCTATGGCTTTCATATTTCACATATGTATTCCTTGTCACAAGACCTTTCTTTGGGTACCACCACATTTGACCTTTTGACCTTGGAGTTTGACCCAGATTTGGAAAATTTTATCCAACTTTAACCTTGACCATAACTTTTCAACAATTGGTACTAGGGCTTTCAGTCGCCCGCGTGGCGCAGTGGTTAGAGCGTCTGCTCTAGAGTCGCGAAGTAAGGAGTTGATCCTTACGTCGCGGGTTCGAATCCCACTGCGGGACGTGGAGACCGGTCCTTCGGATGAGACCGTATAAACCGAGGTCCCGTGTCGCAGTAGGTGCTGGCACGAAAAAGATCCCTCACTGCTCAATGGCCGTAAGTGCCGAGTATAGGACAAAATTTGCAGCTCTCCACCGGCAAGTGATGGCGTCTCTATATGAGTGAGAAATTCTCGAGAGGGACGTTAAAAAAACATACAAACAAAAAAAACTAGGGCTTTCATACTTCACGTATGTAATCCCTGTGACAAGACCTTCCTTTGGATACCACCAACTTTGACCCTTTGACCTTGACCTTGGAGTGTGACCTACTTTTGAAAAACTTTAACATTGACAATAACTTTTCAAGAGTTGGCGCTAGGGTAATCAAACTTCACATATTTAATCCTTATGACAAGACCTTCTTTTGGATACCTACAACTTTGACCCTTTGACCTTGACCTTGGAGTTTGACCTACTTTTTGAAAACTTTAACCTTGGCCATAACTTTTGAACCATTAGTGCTAGGGCTTTCATACTTCACATATGTAATCCTTGTGACAAGACCTTCCTTTGGATACCAACAATTGTAATCCATTGACCTTGACCTTGGGGTTTGACCTAATTTTGAAAAACTTTAACCTTGTTCATAACTTTTGAACGATTGTTGCTTCAGCTTTCATATTTCACCTGTATATTTCTTGTGAGAAGGCTTTTCCTTGGGCACCATTAATTTTGACCATTTGACCTTGACCTTCATGTTTGACTTACTTTTGAAAAACTTTAACCTTTTCCATACCTATTCAATGGTTGCTGTTAGGGCTTTCATATTTCACAGGTATATTCCTTCAGACATGACCTTACTTTGCGTACCAACATATTTGATTTGCATTTGAGAAAGTTTAACCTTTGCTATAAGTTGCCATACGGGGGCATCAGTGTTTCACAAACACATCTTCTTCTTTTTTGACCGCTCAGCAAAACATTGGAAATGTTAGACTTTTTTAGTATAGATTGATATGGGAACCAATTTTTAAAGGTATAACACTCGTATTTATGTCATGTTGTAAATTTTGAATTTACCGGGTGGCAGCATGTTGTAAATTTTGTATTAACTGCCACCCGGTAAATTCAAAATTTACAACATGACATTTACCAGGTTGAATTTGAAATTCTTAAGAGACGAACAATTCAATGGCTTTTGCTTCATGTATTTGTCTTAACACAGCATATAAGACAAATATAGACGGTCCATGCATGCATATACGAGACCTGCCGCTAGCTTACTGCGGTCCATTATAAAAAAAATTAAAACTAAGTGAATTTGTATATTTAATAATAAAAACTTAAAAAGGTTGTACGGAAATATAATCAATATATACATATACAGAGAACAACTTGACAATGGTGAGACGGTTATAATTATCATTGTGAACTACAACCTTATTCAGATGTTTTAAAGAATTGATATGATATAGACAAATGTCAATGATGTATGAGAAACATCAATATATCGGCTAATTAAATGGATTTAAAATAACAATGTCAACGACTACATATACACCATGAGTTATACATTATTGCAAATATAGGAACAGATAACAATTGAAATTATCCAGTCAATTATCTATTTATCTGACTTGTGGTGGGGTGGAATGTAGTAACGCTCAACTTTATACAGGCCAACTAAGCCACAACGGCGGGTTTTCAGAGTTTCATAGAAATCCATGGCAACATTTAAGTGTTCCATTCCATTTTCACATTCACAGAGGATCAGGTATGCAAAATTTTCAGTTCGCATCGTTGCCCTGAGAAAAGTTATTCTTCGAAGTTTAAGGACCCTGGGACAGTTCCAGAGAATGAATTTCGCGCCACTCCACGTGCTCCATAACTCTTCCATTGATGGCGTCTGCTCCAGCGCATGGAATGACGTCAGATAATACACGCTATCCTTGCTGACTGGTGTACGAGGTAATTGTTTCACTCCATCTCTCACAATACATTCTATTTCATCGTAAAATTCTGCAATATAAATATGCATTATTATATAGTTACAGGCTCTCTTACTTAAAAAAATATAATTATTATAAAAATAATAATCAGAAAACATATTATTTATTATGATCTTTGAGTTTTACAAAGTGTTGATAACCCGAATTCAAAATGGTAAAACGGTACGTCTGTGAAAAAAAATCTTTTAAAAAATTCTATTACTTCACACTCTTTCCATATGAGCCCTTTTCCCCCCATTTCTGGAAATCTTTTATAATGGTTCAACACATTAATATAATCTTCTTGCATATAGATTTATCCACTGTCACAGAAATAATTACTAAATATGTGGATTTATATTTGTGATCACGAAAATCCACGAGAGGCAGCTGTAGGGATCCGATACAAAGTCTGCAATTAACTCAATTTGTCATTTTCTTATATTTCATTCACTTTGTATTCCATTCTGTGTATACATGCAAGCGGATCAGAGTCCTTTATGCTAGGAGAATGAAATATACTAAAGCTTCGGAAGCTTTTGTGTCTGGTAACTCCCCAGGGGAAACATCCCGATTTCTGTATAGATTTAATGTGAGAATGTATTTTTTAGCATATTATACAATGACAGTTGAAGTTAATCAGGCCTTATCTGACAAGGTCTTTCGTCTGGTATCTCAGCATTGGTCAAAGGATGACATACATTGTACATTTTATTATTCAACATTAATATTTTCAACAATTTTAAAAACAATGTTTGAAAAAAAAGAGGTTGCTCTAAACCAATTTTTAAGAGATTTGAACCTTATTCCATCATGAGTTAACGGAGAACAACACCTTGTTAGGAGAGTTAACTCTACCAATGATTTATTTTATAACAGACAAAATTCAATTTAGTAGGTAGATCTCCCTTATAGAATTTTAAACAAAAAAGTAGCTACAGCAGAATAAATAAATAAAACTCTGTTATAGATTACAGTCACAAATTTAACTTTTCATCTGTCAAAGGTCCCCTCTCTCCCACCCCTTTTTAAAACTGTTTGTTTGGCCACATTTATTGCATAACGTCAGATTGCACTGCAATATGACAAGGGGACTCGATCAATGGACTTTGGGATCATGTTTTACATTCCGACAAATTGTTTTCCCCTCTCATATGACAATATTGGCATGGGGTGATTTTTATATCAATTTTGTTGCATTGTCAGGCTTCCCCAGGATAATTTAACGACATTCCGTCAGCCAAAACAATGCAGTTTATCTAACGTCATAAAAAAGATGAGCAATGGTCATCTTCTTGGGGGGGGGGGGTGCTTCGTGTTCAACATTTTTTTTTTCAAATGAAGGGCTTTCTGGTTGAAACAGAGGAACTGTCCGAACCATTTCTAAATAAAGACAATGTCGCACATTTACATTCTTTAAAAGGTTTTTATTTTTCTTTTTGGGTTTATCTTTTAATGTTTATATATGCATATTAAAACCTCAGTGAGATTTGTTCCCATGTACGATGTGTTAAGATCTAATGCTGAGACTGTGAAGGGCATCCATGGGAAAATCAAATTAACTGGTGACAGTCGAGAAATAAATCATATTACTCAGAATTTCCTTTTCTTTTACTGGAGATAAAACTAATAAACTTTGAATTCTTAATGTTACCGGTTTTCGGATGTGAAACAAAAATCAGTTTTTTTTTTTTTTGTTTTTTTTAAAATCCTTGGGTTTACATAATTATATCATATGTATAGAACTAAGCGGGTTTTTTTAATTAAAGGGAAAGTACTAAAATTTTTCTTTTATCTCCATACGTCAACAAAGTTGGAAAGGGGGAGCTACATGTATGCCAACTCTTGAGTATAGTCTGGTTTTTCTAATGTATTTTAACAAAACACACACATTCCTATACTTGCCCCTATTTCGGTCCGGAAATGAAAAAGGTTTCAATAGAGGATGTCTATATAAAGAAGACAGCTTCATAAAGTATTTTGATATAAGTTGTACATTATATATTTTGCAGTATTTTTCTATTAAAGATGTTTTTTCCATATATCCCTTGTTGTACAATTTTTAGCCCTATTGTGGCTCAAGAGTTGCATGATAAGTTTACATGGGTAAGACATTCAAGATAAATTTCGCCTTAACGTAACGCCGCTAAAATCTGTGAAACAGGGACTTTCAATGGGATTTGACCATCAGCTTATTCATATCTAGTCTGATATGCCCACTTTTAGCAAAATCTTTATCAAAAATGACAGTGACGAATATTGTCGGGGATGTCGGGGATGGGGTTAACACGTTTTGCCCCTGCCAGATTGAAAATCCCAACTAACCGTAAAATAAGGTAGTGGAAATTATTTGTTAACAAAGAAGTCGACTTTTGTTGATGATTTATTGAGCATCCCCTTGAAATATACCATTTGTTTAACAATGTACATACCTGGTTGTATAATCCTGTTACCTAATACTTCTATGGAAAATTTATGGTTGTGGACACGTAGAATGTCCATCTGGACATGGTTCTTTTGTTCTGTCTGTCTTCGGAAGTCCTTAATCCCACTGAAGAAGACCGAGTAATCCACATAGGAGTACTGAGCTGTAATGAAAAATAAACAGCGATTAATTTTTAGCTCAACCAAGCTGAAAGCTCGTTAATATTTTTGGATCAAATGTGTCTGGCATCCGTCTGTCTGTATGTCTGTCGTGTGTGTTGTCTGTAAACTTTTCAAATTTTTGACTTCTTCCCCAGAACCGTTTGACCAATTTTAACCAAACTTGCCAAAAAGTACCCTTGGGTGAAAGAGGTTCAATTAAGTTAATCTGTTCAAATGAAGAACCACGCCCTCTTTCAAGCGGAGATAATTAAGAATTTTTCAAAAATAAATATCGAGATTCCATGTCATATTAAAATTTTCCAGCTATACTTTCACAATCAAACTCCGTTCATATTTCTAAAATTCTATCCTGATTACAAGGTAGTAATTATGTAATCTTTAGGTAAAAGTCAGATTATATTCGAGACCAAAATTTGTCTGAAAACATAATTACATGTATTACAAGAGTATACATTTAGTCAGAGCTATCGACAATACTATTTCTTAATACGATTATCTATGGAATCCGGATAGGGCCATACAGTTCACTATCGCACCATCGAGCATCGACTAAAGGGTCGATGGCGCGATAACGATGAAGCGATGGTGCGATGACGATAAAGCGATAGTGCGATAGCGCGATGACGATGATGCGATGATATGAACATATACAAATTAATGTTTAAAATAAATAATACGACAGGACAGACGGACCTTCTAAAACAATGGTTAGATCTCGCCAAAAATCACCAAGCGTTCTTTGACTGTGTATCAGATCTAGTTGTTTTCACAATAAAGGCTTAACGACAGATACTCCATTTTAACTGATACAAGTACATCTATCCCTTCAACTTTTCAGAGAGAGAGACAATGCAATGGAAGGGCCATATCTGTAGGTCAATTAAATTAAATATCTCAGTATATTGATGAATTAGAGGTATGTTTTCAAAATTTGTAGAAACTATCTAAAGCTGCTGTGATGATTTTTTTTTCTTTCGGTGGGGCATCGTATTTTTCAGATCATTTCATTGGCAAGAGGGAACGATAGTCAAAATAAAGTTAGTCACACAAATAACAAAAAATATCGCTGTATATGTCTACAGAAAACACAACAAAACAAATATAAACACAGATTCACAATATCGGATTTGATTTCCATGTAGACGGCAAATTATCGGAAAAGCAACGAAAGGAGTGGATTTGTTACAAAGTCCATTAACCAGTAATTTAAAGGAATCGCTAGATCTAAACAATATCAATTTGGTCTCCGTTTTCTATTGCGTGAAGGCCTTGTATCTTCTTCTGAAGGCGTTAGATTATACACCATGGCAGCTAAAACAATATCCCAGATACAATAAATCGATTTCACTTTATCAGCGGACATGCGAGATCGCGCTTAATTTAAAAAGACAGGATTAACGAAAATCTCATTGCTTAAGGATTAAATAAAAACTAATTTGCAGCAAAAACGCGAATTTGTATGTATGTGAAAGACCTTATGTTAGTAATAAGTCATGACAGGGTATTTTTGATTAACAGAAATTTGATATTTACTTTGTAACTTTTCATATTAAAAATTTCATCGTGTCCCATGGCAAATAATTATCATTACATCTAACTATTCAAATCACTGGTACTATGAGTAGTTTGCATGTTTAACCTTTCAAGGGTACCAAAATATTTGATATATAGCAAAATTCACTGTTAGAGGTATGAACCATGAAAACAAAAGTGATATGATATATACATACATGTACATGTAATTTTGCTTACATACATTGTATATATTTGTCACATTTTGTTTTTAAATTTTTCTATGCAAAAATTTTAGATAGTTATAATAGCAAATCAAAAACCTCAGATATTAAGAGATAGAAGGTAATTTATTTCATTAATTGCACACTGGTGACATGGGCAACTCTAGCTAAATGTATATATATGTGTATTTCAGACAAGAGGTAGAATGTGCATTGTTTACTGAAATAAGTTCCAGTATGGACTGAATTTAAAACAGGGTTATATGCCAAATAAATAACATTGTCCGTAAGTGTCATCAAGTTCCACCTATTCGCCGGAAGGGCGGAAAATGTGGTCTTCGGGTATCTTTCGATAACTGCTCAGTGCTCTTTCCCTATATATGCCCGTGTAATGTATGATATCGCTATATACATATAGAAGTTAATGAATTTCTTACAGAAGAATTTTTTTTTAACGTACATAAATTATATCTTCAACCTAAACCACATTGTTTAAAGTAGACATATCACACAAAAGTTGGATATACATTTTCAATCAAATATTGTCATGACCATGTTAAAATTCCGGCAAGTCAAAACAACAGAATATCTTACATTTTAAAAAATTCTGCTTATCAGCATTCAAAATGCATCAAAAAATTAACACTTGTGAAACAATTCAATGATTTGGGTGATATGTCAAATTCACTTTTTGTGTTACTAACGAATAAAATTTTAAAAAAATTAAATAGAAACCATGTTTTTCCATCATGCTGCTTAAACCGTGTCTGATATTTAAATGTGGAGTCCGTAAATAAATCGGCTATTGTTTTAAATTTCTAATATCTTTGAAACTTGATTGTTTTAAATTGTGTAATTTACAGGAAAGTCCTATCTTTATATTAAGTAATAAAAAATTATAGAAAGATCTCTTTAATTTTAGTTAGTCTGAACGTATAAAAAATATAGGGCTTTAATCATATTTTCATTTTTATTGTGACAATTTCTGTCGATAAAATGACTGAACTTTGGCTGTAACGTCTGGGCCAGAGGAAAACATCACATATAACAACACTCCGTGCATCACACGCTCACCGATATAGTACTTTCTTCCAAGTAAAACATATTACGGCAATAACGGTACCAAGGCGACACAGTTCTGAAAAGTCATTACCTTTGCTACAATGTACTTATAGATAGTAGAGGAATTTACATAGTTATCCTAGATAAACTCGGTTTTCTCTGTTAGTTTTTCTTACACAGAGAGAGATTTCAAAAAATCAATTACATGTATTTATCGCACTGTGTGATAATACTAATATTATTTGGAGTTGAAAAATATAGCATGTATATACATAGACCTTAACATTCTGGTTTAAGTCAGAACGATGAAGACAAAATTCATAGCACATACAAGTCTTATTCTATTACTGGAGCATCTGTAATAACGTGCAGATGTGCAAGTATATACCACCCACTACAATCAATATACCGGTAACAACAAAACCACAAAGGTCGCCAGTTATTGGAGGAAAAGAAATCTTTCAATATGTTTGGTTAAAATGCCGCTGACCCACTGATGCTATAGAAAGTTGTTGATAAAAATATTCTCCTTCTATATAGTTTAAATTCTGTCTAGTCATATCATTCTGCGATCATATGCGATCATTGTGTTCTTAATTCATTCATGCCATGGAAACAAAAGTTTTGTTTTAGATATATACATGTACAAGCATACAGGTACATATAGTATCGATACATTGGAAAAAAATTAATTCCGGGCATGTTCCTTATAGTTTGTGTGATGCCATCATTCAATGACGTAATGAATGGCAGGGCATTACTGGGGAATTCTTGATTCCTCCATTCAGAGATTACTCAAATACCACGTAGAGTTAGCCATTTTTACTTTCAGCCCGAGTCTATGCATGTTGTCTATGATGATTCTCCATCATGGCTTCTACATGATTGCACATGCGCCTTTTCACATACCCAACATCTTTGAAATAATTGCCATTCTGACGTAGGAATAACTTGGTCTCGTTTTCTATTAATGAGTTACGGTTGTGCCAAATTGACAGAGACGCACATGGGTACCATATGGACACCATTTGAGAATGTTGACCGGTTAACCAAGGTAACTCGGCAATTAATAGAGCAAAGTGAATTCCTATACATCGTACAAAACCACTTCAAACAAACGCCTGTGTCGTATCAAACCCAGACTTCCATTACTTCATTGACAACTTAAACTATGTGTTTTGCTACAGGTTTGTGCCAAAAACTCAAACGATTTATTTCAAACAATCTGTTAATTATCATATTCATAATACAGATTTTACATTTTAGTGTTTTTTTTCCAAAAAGTTTGCTTATGAAATGTGAAGATAACGATGACAGTGATCATTCTCAAAAGTCCATTTAAACAATTATGAACAGAGCGAACACTGACCTCAGAAAACAGAGGCAGGATCAGTTGAGCATCCCCTGTCGATTTGTCATCCCGCAGTGTGCTCTATATCATGATCGGGTAAACGGATATATCTTCATTTATGAGATGTAAGAATTAAATTTTAAGCTTTTAGGTTTTTAAGGTATAAAGTAAATACCACAACACGAGGCAAAGATCATATTCGTTTATAAGCTAGGTTAACTTTGTAGTCATTGTAAATGAATGGACACAAGTTAATAATAGGCTTCCGTTTCATGGCTCGCATCTTAAAAAGAATGTAAACCATCAATTTTGAAAACAGAACAGTCTTGAAATCACTCTGCAAATCAGAATGTCTTGTAATCGCAGTAACACAGGATGTTCTGATAGTGCTTGACAATTGAAATGTTCGAAATCGGCCTGACAGTTTGACACAATACCATGGAGTATGTAACAATTTAACGCTTTGAATGTTGAAATTCAGAATGTCTTAATATCGATCAAAGTATCAAAATACATTGCAATCCGAATGTCTTGATATCGATATATCAGTTGATTGTCTTATCTGTCAAGAAATTTTTATTTAAAAAATTGTTGTACATAGATACGTCAAACTTATATATCTGTTTATGGTAGGATGTCTTAAAAGTCTTTATATCAATCAAACAACCAAAACTGCTTATTCCTGATCATTTTTTTTTTTGGGAAAGTTGCATTCTCCCTAAAATCTATACTGAATTATCTATACTGAAAATTAATGCAAAAACATGAAAAAAAATTCAAATCCTCTAAAATTTTGTATATACATGATATAAATTGATTTTTTTTTTTTTTTTTTTTTTTTTTTTTTTTGCTTGGAAATTGATGTACTTCGTTTACTGTGTGATCACTGATCAGACATTAGAAAATCACGTATACTTGTAAAGGTTTATTTACAGAAGAAAGAAAAAAAACGCACTTCATCCAATGTTTAAAGTATTTGTTTTCTACAGATATATTCTTATATATTGAATAAGGATTACTTTAATGATAAATATTTGATTTAGCAATAATAAAGCTTATTCAAAATTTTACAAATATACTAGTATACGGCATATTTTTTGAGTATCCTTTCGATTTTCACATTCTCAGCATGAAAATTAAAAATTATGAAGAGTCTGGGAGTTTCAATGATTTTTACATTTTTAGTGTTCTCCAGTTTTCTATTTTTTCATGTTTTGTAAAAGTGACAAATTCCAAATGAAATGGATGTTCAAGAATAAAAGTATTTGATTTTTTTCGGTTATACTCTTGAGAATATTCCCCTCAAACCTGCCCGCTTGATAAGTACATGTAAGTATAAAGTCTTAGAATGTTCGATGTGACACACAGACACATTTCCCTAGTTCTGATCAGCAGTTACACGTACGGTAGGTATTTACGCATTTTGCGTTGTATTATACAAATTAGTGTCTATTATTCTCGCAATACACAATTAAAACAACATACTCCAGAATTCTATATTCAGATACCAAACATACGACTCTTGTGACAATAAAATGTTAAATTCCTAAAAGCTACGATTATGCGATTGTTAAAATATTGTTATTGCAGCATCGATTCCCAGGAATTTGTTTTCGTTGATATCTAGTATTTTATTCTGGTAGATACAGGAAACTCCAAGCCCGATAAAAGGTAATTACCAAAAACGTTGGTGTGATAATACCCTTAAAATGATGGTTTCATGTCTACTTAATCCCTCTAAAACATTTCATAAACAACAGAATTCAGAAGGTTGGAAAAAATTAAGGATTGAATAAAATCGATACGGAATATATAATCTTATTCCCAAGTCAATTGAATAATGCATAAAGAATTTATTCCACGGTAAGTAATATGTATTGTATAACAGCTAATTTATTTGAAATAGTTTCATAGTTCAATACACCAAGGTACAGAAAAACTAACGGCTAATAATATAAATCATCAATGACATGGAGACGTCCGAATTATGTCGAGAACGCACCAGATGTGTCATAAAACACAAAACTTTCAGCAATATCACATTTCTTCTATAAAAGATATCAATCAATAAAGAGATAATGCTACTCACCATTTTTCTCAAGGCTTTTTAGAAGAATTCCCTCTAAGAACGTCGCTTGATGAGTGTTAGATTTGGCTGAGGACTTCCATTCTTTAGCGAGGCTGTCTTCGTTCATGTAGAATTTAAATCTTGCCTGGACATTGTAGTGTGGCAGGCTGGACATTATGCCATTTTACTACCTCCAAAAATCCCGTCAAGGAATGAATCCTTGATACCGAAAAATAATCGAACACCCACAAACTGAGTTGTTTAAAGCATCGAAAAATTGCTTCGAATCAAATCATATCAAGCGATGATTGATTTATTTACAAATATTGGTTTGCAAAATGTTTCAATATCCCAAGTATTTCCCCTTTGGCGACAAAAGTCCTCCTCCCCGAGTGAGTTGTCAAATCGTTCCTCGACCTTGTCACTCAGCCTTGTGTATGATTACACAGTTACATTATGTTTCATTAATGTAAACGTCCGAACTTGTGGGATCTAGATGATTTAAACTCATATTTTCACAGGATATAGATTTTCCTTATATCCGCTGCCTCCCCGTTATCGAAATGTCGCATCACACGGACAAGGAGTATTAGATCTATAGTGGCATCACTCCGAAATCTCATACATCTTACACCGTATTACCAGATGCCTCGTTCACTTCGTCAGTACTTGTTCCTGGGAGTAAATATTGTTGCTCAACTCGCCAAAATCTCACAATTAGGTCTTTACTACTTCATAAATCACTAGCACATGTGCTGGGTGTCAGCGATACTGGTGCTGCTGGTATCTATTGTACATCAAGCAATTATTTTATCTAGAAGTGAGGGACAATTTTCCCTACATATACTTAACAATATTTCTGTTTGTACAATATACACACGGCACTTCAGACAACAGTGCAAACGAAGTCGCTGACGCAATGGTTTCAGTCTGCAGGGAGTTTGAAGAGGGCTTTGGTGACAGACCGGGATTGTCTTGCAGAAAAGGTGACAGTGCATCAAGCGATGGAATACTTTTTTTTACGATAATTCTGACATTTGGATAGGGAAGACATTATCTTCTTGAGAGCTTGAGATCGATTTAATGGTGTATCTAACAGCCTGGTGCCAAAAAATAGCTGACATTGATAACCGTGTCTTTACATCAAACCAACGAGGAATATCCTATTTTCAACCAGAAAATGCCGTATATAACGAGAATACTGCATTTTGTACATTTCTCAGAAACTCTAATTATATAGATAGTGCCTTGTTATGTAGGATTTATTATATATTATGCGATTTGAGTGATTTAAATCTGCATATAAGATCTACAGTGTTTTGTAATTGTAATAATTTGATAAAATTGTTCCATGGAAAAATCTCACAATTACTGGGTTTGGATGCAACAGTAGAATATGTCACTTATTTATATTAATGCCCACCAAGGAAGCAATCTATTTGGTCTATACCCTTATGTCTGTTTGTCTGTCTATCTGTTAATGGTACATCGCTACACAAAAAGTCTGTATGGATTTAAATGTAACATTGTCTCACATGTTTTTTGTATATAGTGGACTCAAGATATTAAAGTCACCTGAACACTCAGGTGACCCCTTCATAAATTATGAAATCAAAAGCCCCCCTGGGTCAAGGGTTCTGGGGTTATATATAGGACGGGGCTCTATTTATCATATAGTGAAAATACATTAAATCTTTGAAAATCTTCTCTGTTCGTTGTGATGAGATGCCTCTTCCAAAATTGTGAAATTCATGGTCCCAGCGGTTATAGAGTTAGGACACGGGGCTCTATTGATCATATACTAGTAGTGAAAATGCATAATTCTTTGAAAATCTCTTCTCTCCCCCTGCATATTTATCACACAAACTAAGTGCATAGATATGATGAGCAAGCGTGTCTCTTTCAATATTGTGACATTCCATAGCTGGAGTTAGTGTGGGGCTCTATTGATCATTTAGAGAAGACGCATTAATTCTTCTTTGCACATAAGTATAAAGCAAATAAAAATGTAATTAGTAATTAGTACATAGATATGATGAGGTGCCTCCTCCAAAATTGTGAAAATTCGTGGCCCCTGGGTCAGGAGTTCTGGAGTTTGGGTGGTGCTCTATTATGATCGTTTATGTTGTTTTTTTACTTTCTTAAAGAGAAATTATTCCCCTTTTCGTATTCAAGAAATGATATGATATGGTAATTAATTACTGTAAATAATGTAACTGATAGGTAAATTGAAAAAAAAAGAACTTTTAATGTATAATATCGATTTTCTGAATTGTAAATAGTAAATACATTGGAATCAAAGCTTTAGAAACTTCTTATTTTACTTCCTTGCTCCAAAATCTTTTCAGGTCACTCAGCCCGAAGAGATACAAAAAGTACTTTCAAATTCATATTTTTTAATTTGTCAGGTAACGTTAGACTTGTAAATAATATATGAATAAAATGAAACAAATTACCTTACATTAAATATCATTTTAAGACCAATTAAGAGAGACAAATTGTAAGCTGAAACAAAAACTCAAATTTTCATAAATATAAGATGTACAACAGAACAATTTTATTTAAAGTCGGATTTTCAAACAAATAACATAAGTTCTGTAGAGCTTTTGACCGACATGAAGGGCACATCTGTATACCCCCGGCCTTTACCATGTTCCTTTAGTCTGGCTTTCCTGTCACTCTTGAAGATAAGGGGAACTAGGACGGTCTGTAACCACCCCCCCCCCTTTATAAGAATGGACTTTTGCTTTAAATTTAGTATGGAATTTTCAATCTTAGGTTGGTTGGTCCCCCAATTTTTGTTGCGGTATACTTGAACTTTACGTTATACTTGGCTGAAAATGAAATCCTTAGTTCCCACGATACCCATAGGCTTTAATAGTTTGGACAATTTCAGTTTAGGTTTTGTTTTGTTTGTTTATTTTTTATTATTACATGTATATGTATTATTATTTTTTTTTATGCCTGACCCCCCCCCCCCTTCCTTTGATTTTAATGATTTATTGATTTATTCATTTATTTATTTTGAGATATGTTTAAATCTTTCCCTTTCGAGGTCCTCCATGGTTTGTTCTCTTATTAGAGTTATCTCCCGTGTGCCGTTTGCTATCAGCGATTTACTGCACGACGTATGATGGACAAGTTAGACGTTCAGGAGAACGTCCATGCATCGCTTACCCCCATCGTCACTGACGCCGTGTTGGTCCGCGGAGATTACACGTATTATCACTACGGTTGTGACGGCGTAGATGACAGGGTTAGTAATTTATAAAACTGTGCCGATTTTCCCGTATTGTCCCAAGTCGGAGAGGTTCACTACAGGTAAAATTTCATGATAAATATTGCTTGTACTTGTTAATAATTTCCTCATAGTGAACTGACTGACAAGCATCTTAACAGTGCAGTTAATGTTAAAAGTAATATAATATGTCTCAATAATGAATATTAAAATAAAATTAAATGTATCCTTATTAATTTTCAACTCACATGCATGGATAATGCACGTACATTATACATGTTCAGTTTGTCGAGAGTATTAAAAAAATAGATCAGTAGGAATTGTACAAATTTTAAATTTAGGCAATTCCAAGTTTTTTCTCTGTTTAGCGTCCACCCATCTTTCAAAAACATACCTACCTATTCTCAAAAAAACACACAAGCCAAAAAATAAAAACAAAGACTTTAAAAGTCAAACAAATTACATTGTCAAAGGATACAATTTCATTAAGATTTTTTTCTTATAGAAAGATTTATTCTTTTGCAAAAATAAGGTATAAATTGCTTAAAATATATTGATACGACATATTGTAGACAGATATGTAGAAAAATTGACAGAATTCAAGATTTCGACCAGAATAATCAATTTCAGGACTCCTGATTTTGTTTTTTTGTTTTTTTGATATGGGGTGTCAAAAACCAAGGCGCACGCGGACGCTACACATATTAAAAACTTGGAATGGCCATCAGTACATCCAAATGCACATTTATTTACACCATTCTTGGTCGTAAGAATTTAAAAGGGTGGGAGGGAGGCGTGCCTCCTCCCAATGCTGATGTATAGTATATACTATAGAAAACGTAGCCACTTTATGCTTTTTTCCCCTCAATAATAAGGTGTGATGAGGTTTTTATCTTGAAGTCTTTTTTTTCACCTTGGTATGATATTCTTTTCACGATGAAGTCTCAGTTTTGATGTCTTTGTATAATTTCTACATGATTTTTAAACACGCAGCAGATTTGGAATTTTATTTTTGTGTATTTCTGAAATTCTATAACAGATTATTTATTTTTCTCTAGGGATGGGGTTGTGGGTATCGCACACTTCAGACAATGTGTTCCTGGATTAAAAAGCAGAGAGGAGAGAGCATGCGTGAAGTTCCATCACTAAGGCAAATTCAAGATGCATTGGTTGCTATGGACGACAAGCCAGAATCATTTGCTGGTTCCAAAAACTGGATTGGAAGCTTTGAAATATGTATTTGCATTGATTATTTTTATGAGGTAAACTATATTTTTTTTTTATTACACGAGAACTAAAGAATCAAAATGAGCTTTCTGATCAAAGTTTGTCGTCTCTTATTGGTTGACTTTTTTGGGCTCCTTCCGAAGAACCATGGGCGATACCACAAGAGAGAGAGAGTTCAAGTTTATTCAAGGACAGACCACGAGTAGTAGAATTCGATATATGGTAAAAATGGAAGAGTCACGTAAAAACTACTTTTTTCAGAAAAGACAAAACCTTAATTGAAGAAATCTTCCTATACTGTGATGATTAAAATTTTTAGTCCCCTACCGGTGAAACCGGAGGGGACGATAGGTTTCCTCTGAGTCTGTCCGTCCGTCTGTCTGTCTAGCTGTTCCCCTGTCTGTCTGTCAGTCTGTCCCACTTGGTTTTCCGCACTTTTCTTCTAAATGCTTGCAGATATTGAGCTGATTTTTATTATATGAGTGTATCTTGATGAGTTACAGATCAAGTTTGCATTTCGTTCCGCTTCATTGATTTCTGACGGAATTACGACCTTTTCAATTTTTGCAGGGTTTTCCGCATTTTTTTTTTCTAAACGCTTGCAGATATTGAGCTGATTTTTGGTATGTGACTTAACCTTGATGAGTTATAGATTAAGCATGCATTTCGTTCCGCTTCATTGATTTCTGACGGAATTATAGCATTTTCAATTTTTAACGGGAACCAGATTACACCTGCCGGTAGGAGACTAGTATTGCTAATGCAATACTCTCAGAATGCTTGTTTATCTTGGTTCCCAGGGCTAGGGTGCATATTGGGCCGTGTCACAAAGGGATACCTAAGTTTTACACCTGAATAAACAGGGAAAAAGTCTCTAAAGTTTATTATCCTCTCACTAGGATAAATGACTTTTATTCAGTTACTAAATTGTCGTGTTAAATTTTGCCCCGCAAGATATGTTGAAATTCTTTGCATTTTAAATATACACTATATTTCTTTTGTAAAATCAATAGCATTAAAGAGAATTTTATATGAGTGATTAGACTGCTGATAAACCTCACGTCATCAAGACAAGAAGTCTCTCTCCTATTTATAACTTGTCTCCTGTTCATCTGCATTTTAAACGTATATAATGATAAAAAGAACGCTAGTTTCTCCATGTGATCATAATAATATACATAGTACATTTAACCATATTCAAAAATTTTATTTTAAGGTTCCGTGTAGGTTAATTCACGTAACCTCTGGAGAAAAACTTATGGAATATCTACCAGATCTTCAGAAGCACTTCCAGGAGATGGGCTCTGTTATCATGATGGGTAAAGTTTTCACTCTTTATCAGTTACTTAAGGTTAAGCTTGAGGTTCATTAACCCTCTGATAAGGGAGATAATTCTTACTGTGATAAAATGACTATTATTTTTTTTGTAAATTGTCAAGTCCAAAGCTCATTTCTGTCAAATCTCGCTCAATGAGATATGCTGTAATTGTATTCATTTTAAAGTTTTAATTATTTTTCTTTTGAAAAATCATTAAAATTAAAGCAAAATTTTATATGAGTGAACAGAGGGAGGTTGCACCTTAAATTGGACCCTTTTTTACCAAAGGGAATTTGCACAAAAAAATATTTGTGAAATGAATTCCAAATAAATAAATAGAGAAATGCATCATTATACTGATAACTCTGGCCCTTTGTTATACACGTTATACAGTATATTGTTTTACAGGTGGGGATACGGACAATGCTTCCAAAGGAATAGTAGGAGTCTCCATGGAAAAGAAATCCCTGCTTGTTATAGTTAGTATCTCGGTAATCTGTAAGATTAATTATTGTCTTAATCAAAATGATTAAAGACAGGTTTGTATTTTTATCAAGTTTTAGTTAATATTAAAATAAATACATTCAACAAAAATCAAATTGAAATCATGATTCAAAAATAATTCACCAAATCTGCACAAAACTTTATGAAACCTTTGATTTATATGTAATTGATATTTATAATATTGTATATTTAACTGTTTACTCATTGAGGGATATATTCAGTAACTGTTTGGTCTTTTTATAGGATCCTCATTTCTACGGGAGTTTTACGTCTGTAACAGAACTCTATGACAAAGACATGGTGTCATGGCGGCCATTAGACTCATTTCTTCACCACTCCTTTTATAACTTTTGTTTACCTCAGCTTAAAGCAAAATAATATCTTATTGTATTTATTGTCTCAATTTTCTCAAATTGAAGAAGAACTAGGAATTTATAGGAAGATGAAAACGGAAAGCAATATGTTTTGATGGAGGAGTCAACGGCATATTGTTCGAATGGAGGCTTTGTTAACACCCATAAACTTCAACACGAAGACCTGGTTTTCCGCCGTTATGCCACGTGAGAGGAACAAACCGGATGAACCTCGCACTGATTCTGCGCGGAAGGTAGTGCTTGATTACGGTGTCATAAGTACTGCTCCCAAAGAATTCCTAAAAAAAAAATACACGTCCTATTTTATAATGAGACTTCTACACATAAATTTCTATACTAGTATATCTATAATTTACTATATATTCAATTTCACTAAATAATTTTTAACACTAGTGAAAATTGAAAAAGGACCAAATATCATCATATTTTTTAAGATTGTTTTGAAACAAGGACTTCAATAACATAATATATGATGTATTAGACTAAAGCTGTTTGAACTTTCTTTAAATGAAAGTTTTTACCTTTTGAGACCCATTACTCCCGATGACGTCATGAAAGTTGTTTCCGTCTGTGCTATACTGGAGTTTGTAGGACAGAGTGTAGTAGGTTGAGGAGCGATACCCTTGTGTTGCTACGGAGTAGACAGCACGAACTTGTCCCAGGTCAACCTAATCATACAAAGAGTTTACGGGGCTTTGTGAATGATTGCAGCTGTGAAATAATTGAATGAAATAGTTTTAATTTGATCCTACCGACTACTAGATACAGCGTCTCAGACTACAGAACACTGACAGTTATAATCGTGCCATTCACATATGTGAAATTACATTCTTACGGGTATATAAAACTTATAGAAAAGTTATACAGGCTGAACAGTTTTATTTAAAGTTGATGTGCAACACTGGTGCCCCCGTATCAAAGCTCACGACCAACATTAAATTTTTCCAAAAGTAGATCAAACTCCAAGGTTATTGTTATGATGTCAAAATGAAATATGAAAGCACAAGCATCAACCGTTCAAAGTTATGGTCAAAGTTAAAGTTTTTGCGGACAATCTGACGGATCAAAAACTACATTTTATATGCCGCTGAATCTCCGATTACGTGGGCATAAGAAATTTTATTTTGCTATTCAGTATATATATAATTTATATATCATCATGATCATTATGAACCTGTAGCCATGAGTTGGATGTCTCTCCGATCCATCCGTCTCTACTGTGAAGTCGACCATTAGAGGCGAAGTGGTTGGAGAATGTGTAGTGCGCTGACATTTGGGCGTCAGGGATTGTCTTTTTGGAATAGTCTACACCAAAGGCATTTGTATCACAGCCTAAGCAAACAATTTAATTAATCATGCATACTTGTAATTGCTTTGTGGTACCTGTATCCAATTCACTTTGTTTAAATAATTTTCTTTTTTACATACGTAGTTCACAGCGTTGGCCTCCATAATCTTCTGAGCATGCGCACATGTAATTTCCAAAGTCATCTGAGCATGTGCCACCATTTTGACATGGATTGCTGCTGCACTGATCTTTCTCTGCAAAATATATTTGTACCTGTTTTGGTGATTCTTTTATTTAAGGTTAATAAGTAGATTACTTTTTTTAAATAAATATCTTTAAAAAAGTCAAAAACTAAACCTCTGATATCGATAGAGAATGTTCCGTCCGCGTATTTTCCATGGCGATCAGTGGCACGAATTCCGAATGTGTATGACGCATCTATATCCGGTGCTGTGCCACTGATGACACCTGTGCTAGAATTCAAAGATGTTCCGGGTGGAAGATGACCGGAAATGACTTTATATTGTATGTTACCACCATCTGGATCCTATAATGATGAATTCCGATTTAAGAGAAACCAGTGTCTGATCTTTTTTTCTGAACATAGGGTCTATATCTACATTGTATATCCGACTCTGAGTGATTAAAACTAAACATTACTGAGGTATATGAAGCCCCCATGTTTACTGTCGAAACAATTCATCAATGAATTATCGGAGGAAAAAATTTGACCAAAGAGACAAAATAATACTTATCAAACCAAATGAATATATGGTAAAATATTCCTTTTTTATAATTTATTTTGTACTTCTTAATTTTTTTAATTAAGTTTTACAAGTTCTGAAATGCTTTATTAGTTACCACAGCCTCCACCGACACGGCTATTTTTGTCCCGGAAGTAAACGCTCCCAGTGACCCATGGACCGATTGTTTCGTCCATATCGGGGGAAGACTTTTAACTTTCTGAAAATATTTTACAATTTTTTATCAGGAAAAGGCCCAAGATGTATGAAAAATAAACTATTTTTTTTACAGTAAAAAGTTTGTTTCGAAAAGTATTTATAGCCATATGCATTAAATACTATCCTATAAGAGGAAATAATGAATTATATACAGTATACATTAACGTACCTCGATAAATTTTCTGAGATCTGTCCCACCAATGATCACGGTTCCTCCAGACCCTGGTTTTAAAATAACATTACCACCCACTCCAGCCTGTCGATAAAAGTAAATTGAAAAAATACAACTTGGGGAATTATTGATTCTAAATTCCTGCACGACCACTACTAACCTCAAAAGTTAGATCTCCGCCGGGCTCTGCTGACACATTAACGTTAGGATAGTCAATCTGGAAGAAGCTGAAAATGCCACATAACCGATGGAATTTTTGCAAATGAAAGAAATAGCAAATGATTTGTTTTTCTAGTCATGAAAATGTTAAAAAAAAAAATAAGAATCGGTAATAAGCTTAAAACAAAGAACAAGAAAACAACAATGACAACAGCGAGGGACAAAAATAAACTAAAATACCTTCTACCATATTAAACATCTGAGTTGCCCGACAACAATTAACAAAATTTAAAAAGAAAAAAAAAACTTTCAAAGCAGCTATTTCTAAATTTATATGTATATATATGTTATGTTTACCTTCCATGAGCGATCCCAGGAAGAATAACTATTAAGAATATAAAATAATGCATCATAACTTTAGCTATCGATGTAGTGAGTTGATTAAAATGGGAAACACGTTAGAAAACTACTTCCTTGGCAATAGTCAAATCCCTATATTTACAAAATAATTAATCATTCTATTTATTTTATTAATTACCTTAACGATATCCCTTTAACCCCAATGTCTTTGTTTCTAGAAACCTAAAATTTTACCCCACGCCTTTATTTCTTTTGCATGACCTTGAGAGAATCTTGTACTTTCAAGGTTATGAAAATGGCTTCTAGACTCGTTCCTGTTGTACTTTTCATAAGTAGAATTTTCTGTGACGATGGGTTTGTAAATTTCTTATATATGTTACAAAATTTTCAGATAAGACAAACCCTTAATGCAATATCTTTGATTACAAATTTAAAATAATATTCTATTTTCTGCAGTGTATTGGACATAGAATATCCAAGTCTCTCTATTCATGCACCTGCCGATGGAGACATTATTTTACAGGTAAGATGTGACCCCAAAAAAAAACTGTTTTCTTTAGCTCAGAAAAAAATAACTTCTCAATATATATATCTTTAAATTAAGCACAGTTTTAAACGGTTGAATAACAGTGTAGGTATGGTATTAACATTTATGGAGACTGATGAAACGTTCTCTCTTTTTAAAAAGTGTTCTCTCCTCTAACTCACCGTTGAAGACACTTTTTGGTTAAACTTAAAGTTTGAATTCTACAGGAAATTGTTTTATTTAATCAAAAAAGAAAGGGCAATTGATTGTATTATTAATGAAAAACACGACATCGAAGCAATTCTGTCATTGTCTTTATAGTTATACAGTTGTTAAGTGAATAGAAGAATGTCATTAATAAAAAGAGAAATACCCCAAAAGAGTATAATTATTTTCTTTGTATTTTCATTTCTGCAGTCTGGTTACGACCTTAAAGATGTATACATCAAACCAGGCCCAAGGGGATCCGTAATATTTGAAAACCAAGACATTTTGAAAATCATAGAGGTATCACTGATCCAGCCTGTTAAATATATTGGTATCCTAAATAGTTTATTAAATCAGGTAGATGAATAGTGTATATATTTATTTACATCTTGTTACAAAGGTAGCAAAAAGCTTGCCTCCAGTTTGGTCAAAGCATGCGCACATGGGTTTCTTTGGAACATTTACTGGTGAGCAAAGAATAAACATCAAACTAGATGCCAAAGTAAGTCTTCTGTAAATTCCAGGCTATAATTAATTTCATTTCATACTTCATTAATTTTTCCTTTAATGAATAAATATATATTCAAACTCGCAAAGTATCGATTGAGACAATTGTTATACTTCTAATTTCTTAAATAGGACCCCGAAGGTACAAATCTCCATTTCATGATAGTATCTGGTGACCTACCGGAAGGAGTTAGCCTAAACAACGTTACGGGTCACATAGAAGGAGTAATTCCGGATGTGGAAGAAATTTTCAAATTTGCAGTTCGTGCTGTTGATGAACATGGGAAATATGCTGACGCAATCTTTAAAATGGAAACTGTTGGTATAGTTTTTTATCATCTATAAAAATAACGATGAACGATTTATTTCATAGATGACACGTAATTTAATTCTTTCCCACAAAAAAATATTATTTTAGTGAAGGACCATTGTCAAACAAATCCCTGCTTGCATGGCGGATCATGTACAGACACTAAAGGTTGGTTCAACTGTACATGTAAAAGTGGATATGGAGGTCCCAGATGTGAGTTCTGTAAGTAAATGTTGTATATAAAACCTTGTTTTACAATCAGTTCTCTTCCTATAACCTGTAGAAATTCCATAACATGACAACTTTTTCAATGACTTGAGTGTATTTTTACAACCTGCATACATACATACGACACAATGTGTATAAAAGGAGGCCATACGAAACTTTTTTTTTTTAAATATACTTTGCATATATTACAAATAAATCACATTATCAATATGTTTTTTTTTTCTTTTTTTTTTTACATTTCAGTTCTATAATTTCTTTACAGCTTGTGCCTCTCAAGCCTTGGGTGTAAGTGACAGAAACAAGGTACCAGATGCTCAGATGTCCGGATACCTTACCTACAGCTCTTACTTGGAATCGAATGGACGATATCACGCTTCTGGGTATGGATGGGTGGGATCAAACAGCAACTCGTGGTTACAGGTGGATCTAGGTAATCACACATTCATGAGGTGTATATCCGAGTGCAGAAATAGTAAACAATCATCGGAGACACTAAGGCAATACATCCTTTTGTCAAAAATTATATCAATTCTGTACCATTTCTCTAATATATATTATGCATGAAGTTAGGAAATAACCATACTTGATAAAACATCCAAAAAAAAAAAAAAAATCCAAGTATTCTGAAACAAGTTTACTAGATAATCCGCCTTTTAATGATTAGTTCTGTACAAAACACAATTGCTGCCTCCTCCGTTTCCCCGGACAACTACGTGTAACATGTTATGAACTGAACTAAATAAAACGTTATTTGAATGATCGGGAAAAAATACCCAGCCTATTTTTTTTTTAATCTAAGACACGCTAGTCAGTTAATATGAACATAATACATAATATATAAATATAAACTGGGTATTGAGTATCGTAATTAATTTCGAAAGGTAACCTGACTAAAGTGTATGCAGTAAGGAATCAGGGCTACAGTTCCACGTACTACAGCCGTGGGTACACTCTCTCTGTCAGCACAGACGGCACTTCATTCCTATCCGTAAACAACACTAATGGAGGAATACATGTAAGCAGTACTATATCTTATTATGCAGAACTTAGCTATTTGTTCCTAGCTACATGTAGTAACTGAAACTATTAAAAAATCGCGACTATCTAGTATTACTGGCAATTGTATGAGGTGTTTATAATCACTCTGAATATCATCTACTGTTGTTTTCTTTCAGACGTTTTATGCCTCCACAGGAACTTACCAGTACTCACTTCCGGTTCCTATAGATGCGCGATTTGTTCGATTTCATCCAACTTCATATCACAATAAACCACAACTAAAAGTAGAACTGTATGGATGTCATTATCAGTGACATAGGATAGGGGATGATTGAGCTCTTTGAAGATTATTACATTGTTTCAAATTTGTTTGGAATTAAAATGATTTATTGAAAGAACTTTTTTCATTTGTTTAATTTTTTGGAATTTATGTAGGCGAATTTAGTTTATCACTTCGAAAATACACTTGTAATACCGGTAACTGAAGCACAGTTTGTCTTTGAAGACATGTTCATGTACACAACTTAAATGAGAAAAATGAAAGTTAATTTGATTTAGTAACCATTAATGATAAAAAAAAAAATCTAACGTCTAATAACATAAGAAAACAGTTTTGAATTACCTTACTTCTTTTAATTACTGAATTTTTTTTCGCGAGAACTTTGTTTTAGCCTAAGAACGAGACCATCATTCGCAAAAATTTGTTGTGGTGTATATTTGTATTATGGATCATCAAAAGTTTGTGTAATTTTACGACAATGCAAATTTTGTTTCGCCTATAATTACCAAATAACCAACTCGCGAAAATAAGGTGTAGCGAAAAGAAATTGATCTACAGTTATGCATACAATGATAATCGTAACATTAATTAATGGTTGCAAAATCAATCATTTTGCTATTAATAGAGGCTCGTTATAATATTCTGAATCATAAACCTCAGAACCTTAACATAGATCTTTGTTTTAGTTCAGACTATAGAACAATTCAATTTCCCATATCATTTCATGTGAGGTACATCTAAGACTTTCATGCTTGGTTTATGTCATCAGGCTTTTATAAACACACACACCCTCACACACACACACACAACTACAACAACAAACAAAAAACAACAACCCCCCCCCCCCAAAAAAAAAAAAAAACAAAACAAAAAACAAAAAAAAACTAGATGCTGTCATGAGACAGTAATACCCGCACTAAGGTGTTTGCCTCTAAATGCACACTCCTTCATATTGGGCTTACCAAGGAAAAAGTCCAAATAATTCTATAATTTACACAGTACATGTATTCGTCAAATCGAGCATAAAATGCTCAGGTGACCATGTGACCCATGAACCTCTTATACGCATTTCATATACTTAATTCATTACCAGTCTGAAATAACAGAATTTAATTAATGATGTAAATTAGGTTTTGATAAAAGGGGGGGAATATAAATTTTTGGCCCATAATTGGAACTTTTTAAATTTATTTTCTCAACAACAAATAATATTATTTTAGTACAAAGCGTTTTTGATGAATTTATCAACATGTGCAAACTTTTTTTAGTATTTGATTAGGCAAAAACCTCCTTGAAAAGCCATACCCAATCAATTTTGTCCCCCCCCCCCCCCAACACACACACACAATTTGCCTGTTTTTGGAAATAGGCCTAGATGGCAAAGTTATGTTAAAACATCGTTTGTTATGATAATTTAAAATTTGTTCCTGTACTGTACATGTATGTGAACACCTTTTTGAAAATTTCTACATCACATTGGGCTTGCGTCACCCTACCAGTACTAGTACTAGTTTTACCATTATCATTTTTAGATTGCACATGCCATGTGACATGGTGCAGTGTTACATGTATATCAGTGGAAATTAATTCATTTTGTGTTTTAATTGGATTATATTTCATGAAGTTGACAGGACCTATGACAGTCGGTAAGTACAAGTTTAAGTATAGATTGGGGTAAAATAAACCGAAATGCAAATGGTTAGGTTAAAGATTAAAAAGGATCAAAGATCATCGGCAATCTCCCATGCAGAGTTGTCGTTCGTTTCTCTCTGACACTGAATGTATGAGCCGATGGTAGAGAGTGGATCATCGGATGCCACAATAGACGAATTTCACATTCTGAAGAGTTATCTCCCGTTGTCGACATTACATTCAGTTACAGGCACAGATCCGGGAATTTTTTTCCGGGGAGGGGGGGGGGGGTCCACACCTCGGTCCAAAAAAATTCCAGCCCAGAATTTCCTGAGGAGCAAAAAAAAAAAAAAACAAACAAACAAACGAACAAAATAAAAACAATGATGGTGGGGTCCATGTTTTTAAAGGGGGAGGGCATCCAAAGTCATTTTTTATTTGCTTCTGTAAATCAGTATATAGTCCTTTTTAAATAACTCTGCAAATTCCAGGGGGGGGGGGGGGTCCAATCTCCCTAGCCGCTCCCTGTCCCTGAAATGACAAATGATCATGTGACTCCTAAATAGTAGAAAACTTTTCCATTTGACTATACATAATTTTGTTTCTTGTGTTATTATGTTATGTACATCTAATGGTTTAAGGTTATGAACCCCTGGAGGTCATCCCCACTCTCTTAATGAACTGGAAATGTTCATAATATGACTACATCAAATTAAATAAAAGTGCATCAATGATAAGATTACTTGACATTTCATTCATGAATTTGGGTCAACCCATGTACCCTCCTAGAATTAGGAATGAAAATCATTCAAAGAGATGGACCATTAAACTATTTGTATATATTCACATTTTTTTTATGTCAAACCAAAGTATTAGACTAGTTAGCATACATGAACAAACAGGGGTCTGGGAAGGGGAAGGGGCAAGGGGAAGGAGTTATCTCTTTATGTCTTAATTGTTGAAAATTCCTAAAATGAATGTTAACCTCAAATCCGACTTGTACGTCTTCATTATTTTTAAGTGGTGGTGTCTCCGTATGAGTGAAAAATTCCCAAGAGGGACATTTAACGACAAACAAACATTAATGACTTAAAAAACACAATATACATGTACATCAACAGATATACTTCTGATCATATCTCTAGTTCTCCCTTGAATCAGAAATGATGATATAAATATTTTAAGAATGATTAAGAGTTGAAAAGGTTGTGCATTTTAAAATTCACTAAGCTCTGTGGTTGAATTAGCTATACCAGTTTAGCTTATTTTGCTACTCAAAGCACCTTGATTAACTATTTTTAATCATACTGTTTTCTGAAATGTGAAATTTTTTCAACATGGATACAAGTCATACATTTTCAGCTTCTGAAAACAAAACTGCTTTTCAAATACTGTAACTCTTTCCAAGTACTTGTGATCATCAGTTTTTAGCTCACTTGAGTTTTTCTGGTTTTCTGATCACATTTTGTTTGTCATCCATCTGTCCGCCTGTAAACTTTTCACATTTTTGTCTTCTTCACTAGAACCGCTGGGCAATTTCAACCAACCCTGCCACAAAGCATCTTCGGGGAAAGGGGATTCAAGTTTGTTCAAGTGAAGGGTCACACCCTCTTTCAAGGAAGGATAATCAAGAATTAGTGAAAATTTGGTGGTATCATTTTAAAAAAAGTCTAATATCAAGAACCACTGACTGGGCCCAAAAAGTTGAAACTTTCTTTACATAGACTTAGTGTAGCTTCAAATTTGTTAAAATTATGACCCACTGGGCTAGGGTGGGGCCACATATGGGGATCCAATGATTTACATAGAAAAATGCAGGGGATTTTTTCCATCATAAATCTTCTTCTCATGAACAGCAAGGGCATTATTGTCATCTGTTTTCACAAAAGGGACCTAGGGGACATTAAATCTCATTTGTCTGTTAGTCTGTCCGTTTGTCAGTCTGTCCGTCTGTCACAATAAATTTAACCTTGGTCATAACTTCTGAATAATAAGAGATAATGCTTTCATATTTCACATGTACATTACCTACAAGAACTTTCTAAACATACCATGATTTTTGAACCCATGACCTTGACCTTGAAGTTTGACCTACTTTTCAAAAAATTTAACATTATTTTAAATGATCATTTTGAAAGAGAAAAGATAGGGCGTTCATATTATACATGTATATTACCTGTGACAAGACCTTTCTAAATATATCATGACTTTTGACTCTGTGACATTGACCTTGAAGTTTAACCTACTTTTCAAAAATGTTATATTTCCTTATAACTTTTGATTGAGAAGAGATAGGACTTTTATATTTGACATGTACATTACCTGTAACAAGATGTTTCCAAACATGCTATGATTTTTTTACCCCTTGACCTTGATGTTTTACCTAATTTTCAAAAACTTTAACTTTGGTGATTACTTTTGAATGACATATGATAAGGCCCGCATATTTGAAACAATATGTCATAAATACTGGCATCCCATCCACTAGGACACGGAAAGCAGGGGACCACAATTCTTTGAATTTGCTTGTTAGTCATTTTGATATGGAAACATCCTCATATAGTGTAGATTCAAGTTTTTTATGCCCTGC